GATAGATAGATAGATAGATAGATAGATAGATAGATAGATAGATAGATAGATAGATAGATAGATAGATAGATAGATAGATAGATAGATAGATAGATTTAGAAGTAAAAGTTTTCTATACATGTCACTTTACCGATTACTGATCTACATTTGTGTCCTGGTTGTGCCTCCTGCAGGCTCCTGTATTGTGAGAGATGCAACTGGTGACCACAATGACACAGTGAGCCCCACAGTGAACTGCACCGATGCTGCCTGCACGCTCGGCTATGATTTTTCCATCTGTAAGGAGGGAGGCTGTCCATTTGGCTTGATGAATGACTTCCAGGTAACACTGAAGCAGATGATCTTAACACTACCTGTTTTCTTGGTACTTACCGTGTTGATTGTTCCAAAGATTATGGCGAACATATCACAATTCATAATTCATATCATAATTGTGACAATGACCAGTTTTCAGTTTGAGTATAACTTTGGCATAAAACTGTGTAAAATAAGTTATTTATAAAACCCTGCTTTGATGTGGGGATACTGCGCGTTTACTTTATGACCACTGTGATAGGAATTATGAGATCTAATCAATTAAGTGCAAGATGCAAGGTGCTTGAATTATAAACAGGATGTCATGTTCCACAAACAGTGGGTTAAATTAGAAAGAAGCTGCATTAATAAAAGACAAAATTGTGCTTTTAGGAGGGAGAGAGGAAAATATATTTTGTTTCTCTTTTGGTTCACGGCCATTAATGACTAAACCCTCATTCATGCGCTGTTATCTGTGAGTAAATATCAAAGCTGTTACCATCTGTGTAAGTAGATTTTTTGGCTCCCAGCTGCACATGTGAGACTATTTAAGTTTTTTATTTATTTATTTATTTTTATGATGAGCATCTTTTATGGATCAAGTGTGCGCACACCACTGGGAAGGATCTTAAGATTAAGTTCAAGTAAATGAGAGTCTGGAGCACCACCTGGTGCAGCATCCCTTCTTCCTCTTGTGGCTAAAGGCAGTTTATTTTGACTCAGCTGGATGTTTGGGCTCTTTGCTTTAATGCTAATCAGATGATTGCTTGGTGACGCTGCTAAAGGTCAGGGGCTGAAATTGGTCCGTTTCTTCCTGCTGCTATGAAATATTAAAAGTACTTTATGCTCAACTAGGGTACCGATGATTTCACCCCTGCAGAAAGATGCGTCGGGATACAAGCAGAGAAAAAAGTCAAACTTAATTTGTAGAGCACCTTTTCATGCAGGTCAGTCAGATCACTGACAAGCTGTTTATAGGCCGGAGCAAAACTAATTGTAAAAACACAGAAAGTAAAATAAAGTTTCAGTAGACTACAATTACACTACAATGTAAGAAATAAAATAAAAAGAGATTAAATAATATAATACTGGATAAATTGGATTAAAAGGAGAACATCACAGATGAGTACACATAAACAAATATAATTAAACTGTAGTAAGTAAAGCAGAAAACATTAGTAAAGTAAGTAATGTCTAAAGTACACCCAAGCCAGAATAGAACTGCTTTAAATTTACATTTAAAAATTTAGTTCAGTTTTATTTTGCATAGCGCCAACTCACAACAAAAGTTTTTTTGTTTTTTTTTTTAAATATAATAAAGAACCTACAAAAGAGAAAACACCAAGATACAAATGACCTCTATGAGCTGCACATGGCAACAGTTGGAAGGAAGAACTCACTTTTAACAGGAAGAGTCCTCCAGCTGAAACAGACTCAGCGAGGGGGAGCAATGTGCCATGACTGGTTAGGGTCTGCAGGGAAAGCGAAGCAAGAAAAGGAGAGCATCAAAAGAAACGATGAGGAAAATGTGTGTTAGAGTCGCAGCAGGTTGGGTGAGGTGACCAGGATGGCACCACCGTATGGAAATTGATGCTTTCAGCTGATATTAAGACACATTAAGAGGTATTTATTGTTTACTTCAGTCAAAAATTCCAGACAATCCTAGGAAGTTGTATTACATAAAGTCGTTCGCACACAGGCAGCTTGACGTGAATTGAATCACCCACTTCTATTGTTTCCAGTGGAAGCCTACACACTGGCGTCAGTGCTGTGTCAGGATGCAAAACTGTCCCATTTCCTGTCGTCCACACACCTCCACAAAAACAGCTGTTTAATCAGACTGACAGCGTTTTTACACATAAATTGTGTGAGCAGTGGGTACTGCTCGAAGTAACACTGATAAAGACGAAGACACAGACACACAGGTGAAAGTAGTCAAGACAAGTGAAGACTGAAAGACATAAAGCCAAAAAAGACACAAGTAAAAACTAACTACTCAGCAGGACAAGACTGACACTACACACAGTAAAGATGAGCATACAGACCAGGAAACACCAGGAGACAAAAAAAACAATAATTAAAATTAAAAAACAAATATCACCACAGTCCAACTTCTGTGGAACCAAATCTCTCTGTAGCATAAAGCAACAATCCAAATTCAACAAACTATGATAAATGTATTCATTTTCTTGACTGAGCAATATGATGGCATATATGGCAAGACAACTGAAATCTCTGTATGCGTTTTATGTGGACCAAACTCTATCTCAGAGGACTTTTTGAGATGTGCAACAATCTAATCCAAGATATTTTCATTTTATGGATTAAATTAAATGTCAGTAAACTGTCTATGTATATGTTTGACAGTCTGCACAGGCACTGGGTGCACATTTCTGCTGTTATTATAACTCGTTTACATAAGTCATACTTAAAAAATGGTA